GTTTGTCTGTTGGTTGGTCGCCCTAGGCTCATTAAAGATTAAGAGAAAAGACTCGCTGGAAGGCACAAAAAATTAAAAAAAGAAAGTTAGTACATTATATTAAGGAGCCGACGAATGGTACCTACTTATCAGGCCCGCTTGATTTGTTATAATTTTCATGGAATATCGCCTACGCAAAGAAACGAAAGGCGAAAGGCAAGCAACGCTACTAAAAGACCCCACTAATTTGCAGCCCCCTACATTTGGCCCGCCGAGTACACGGCCTATAGAGGAATCCACTACTGTTCCTAACAACTAACCAAATCGCAAACCAAAATCAAGAATATCCCTATACCGAGCAAAACTAAAATCGTACCTATCGTATCTTGATCTCAATTGAAGAAATTCGCATTATTTTTGGGGACATTTATTTGTTTTCTCGTCTGGTTGGGTTTAGGGATAAATAATAAACATATAGATACATATTGCATATATAAAATAAATATTATGAATAAAAATAAACATACAAATATATACAATAAAATATATTGTATACAATACGTAAATAAATAGGACCTAACCAAAAATTCGCATTATTATTATTATTAAAATGCAGATGGTCGGCACTTGTCCCTTAATTAACTTGTGAAAATATGTATACAGCACATATTATGAAGAACAACGCTATCTAGATTTTGCATGGGAACTAATTCCTTATCTTTTTACTTAGCTTTTTTTATAGTGAACCAATTGCAATAAAACAAAGCTTTAATGTTGCACAGAATTAATCTTGAATACTTACAAAAATATTTACAAAAACACCATACAAATTACTCCAGTAGTAGGATAACTGTGATAACTGTTTGCGACTGCACTGCTTTAATCTTAAAACTCCCATATCTCCCGTTTGAGTGAACTGATTGAGATGAAACAAAGCCTAGGTCCTGCCCCAAATTTTTGCTTAAGTAACCAGTGAAAACTGCATCAAAATCCGATAAGAAGTTTTCAAGTTTATCGCTAACTAACAGACAGACAGACAGACAGACAAAAATTCCAAAAATGGTTTTTATGTTTCCTATAACACTTTTTATGATACCCTTTTTAATTTTTTCATTAAAATATTCAATGTACAGACATGCCGATTCTACTCTTTTATTATAGTATAGATTAGATAAAGGCGTTGGCAAAAATATCGGTAAAATATGATGCATTCCAAATGTTTTTGTTTCAAGAAATTTATTTCTTAACTTTATTTAAATATGTATAAAAATAAAACATTTGCGGTATAACAAACGCACGTGAGCTGTGTTAAAATAAATGCATGTATTTTTTTTAATATTATGCTTACATTGAATACAACAAAATAATATATCATAAGAGATAAATACATACGTTGACATACAGCGTGTCGTTACAACCGCGACAATAATTGAACACACGTCTAACGCTACTTGCCAATAATCATAAAAAATATAAACGTTAAAAAAATCCATAATTAAAAAAAATAGTTTTCAAACAAACAAATTAAGTAAAAAAGAAAAAAAATTTGTAACATCCTATACACTATAACAACTGACTGATTCATACATTCAGAGATTTTTTCATTCGTTGCCACAGCGTCGCATTACAAGTTTCCCCTTCTTACAATATGTTTTGTCTATTTTAAATTCATTCAACCCATTCATATGCTTTGTGACCTTTACAAATGAACTTTACGTTATATTTTTATACGTAAGGGTGTTCTAAAATTGTTTGTTTTGGAAAATTTAATAACTCGGTAAATTAAAATATGTAGAAAAAAACCAATGACCATGCCGAAGACGTGGGTTCGATTCCCACAGCGACGACATTCTTTTCGCACTTTTTCTACATATTTTAATGTTCAATCTTAAGTGCAAAGATTAGCATTATAAACAATTTAAACTCGGTAAATATTGATGTTTAAAGAATGTAAATGTTTAATACAATTTTAAAAGTTATCCTCTATACGTGTGTTCATTTGTTGTCGCGGTTGTAACGACACGCTGTATACAGAGATCGAACGACATTGGTCGGTTTTATTGATGCACATATGGGCACAATCAGCGGCCCCATTACGTCGAGAGACTATTGTTAAGAAACTTCCGCGCCCATTCATCGCAATACGGATGACAATAAAGTAGTTTTACCTTTGAGCTACAGTCGCAACTTTCTTCTACCCACTATTAATTCCTACGTCGACATGCCGTTAGAGGAGAATTGAATTAGATTTTTTAATGCTATAGAAGACTTATCTTGAGCTTTAGTCCTTTCATAAAAAATATATAATAAAAGATACTTTATGCATGTTTTTATGTAAGAGTGCTCATTGACATTTGCAATACCCGTTGTGGTGTTGCAAAATCATTACAACCTTATAAAAGTATGCACCGGCTGCCTCTCTAACCAGACGAAACGCAAAGTATAACAGTTCCACTTCACGCCAGTCTTCGGTAAGGGCGTGGTACTTGGGATATTTCGGTGGCCCTTCCCTAGTTCATTTTATTTGAATAAAGAAAATTTTCGTTATTCTAATCTAATACATAAATGCTAACATTTCAACATTTGCATCATACTCTTCTCACTCTTCAACAACTAGTAAACAACGGAACCCCGCGCCGCGTATATCGAAAGTGAAACATAGTAAGCCCTACATGCCTCACGAAAACATTTACATCATAATAAGCCGATCGCCCGCCATAAAGCCGCAAGAGGGCGTTTTTGTAGGTAATGTTTACGTCAAGTAACAAAAACAAAATAATGGTTACTTGTGACGAAATAAGGAAAATTACAAATAATTATTATCTAATACCTTTAAACGAGCAATTCTTACGATGGAAGAATAATTAGTTAAAAATTATAAGAAACTGCAGTAGTAAAAATCATTGATTTCCACGTACTATAAATTTCGATGCAAACTATTTGTATAGAATGAAAAATTAACAATATATAACGAAAGACAATATTGATTGAAATATAAAAATTTAGCAAAAGTTTTTGCAGTGTTTGAATTTTTACAATTGATTGAATTACCTATTAATGGAGTTCTCTTTCTATTTTATTAAAATAAATGAATAAGCTGGCAAAATATTTGAAAAATGGCGATGCTTCACCTTCGGTATGCGTGGCGTGGAGTCCTTTTATCTTACTAGTCCGTGATACTACTGTAATCTTTTAGAAAACTTGTGTCACTGTTCAACAGAGCTACCTGAAAATTAATTTTACGTATTGTTTAACTTTATCAAAATCGTAGGGCAGGTAGAAATTTTTGTATGCGCTTAGAATGTTCAAGAATAACAAAATGTTGATAGATATTTAAATACGGCGGTAAGGTTTTAAAAAAGAAAACAGTACTAGGTGTAAATGGAGTTGTGAATTACTTTAAAACTAAATACAATAATGAATATAAAACTTAACTGGATATCATCATAGCTTATCGAAGCATACATATGAATTACCTACATTGAATCATTGATATGCAACCAGTGTCTGCGGTTCTAAAGAGGACATTCTTGATAGGAAAGAGACATTTGTCACTTTATTGAATAAAACACAATTAATAAATTTGTAAACAGAAAATCATTAGTATATCATCACTGCAATTAGGCACGTATATACAGGACGATAGCAGCGATGATAAGTAAGCGAACAGAACAAACAAGACCTTATTGAGATACATAATGTTTTACGTTTTTGGTGTCAAAAAACTCATAACATAACAGTTACTGTTTCAATTAAAATTTCTATAATAGGTCAGCACAAATCCAACAATCAATAAAAGTAATACGGAAAGATGTTGATGATGCCCTGATGCGAAAAAAATCATGAAATAACTATAATGAAATATATCAATACGAAAAAATCACCATTGCTCCTAAGCATTTAATATTACATATTCAGTTTCTACGTATTTGGGAATATCTAGAATGAGTCACAATATAATCGACGGCAATGGCGCCTACCAAAATCGTTAATGCGGGGTAAGCCGGAATATCCTAACCAACGAACACCGTGACACCTATTCAAGCATCCATTAATGTATTGCATACTAATTTAAAGGTAGAAGTTATTCGTAGTTACATCAAGAACACGTTCCTATTATATATATACCTTTATAAATTCTTCGTATTCATTTACGTTTTACTTGTGATTTCTACTAGTGGTTTGTGAATAAAGTCAAGATTTCTTTTACTTCTGGATCGATATTCTATTCAGTATGGATATTTTGTCATTTACCATCAAAAGAGTCCTCTTAAAGTAAGGTACATTAAACTTTGTTGGTCAGTTGAGTCATTAACATACGAAAACGAGAAAAACTTCTATAGTATCTTCCATAATCGTTTATTGTCTGACATGGTTGGTATTAAGAATGGACATATGACATCAGATAGCTGACGGAAATATAGATATTAAATTGTATACTTATTTCAAAGAGTTTATGAAACCAACAAGTCTTTTTCTTTGCATATTTAAGATGTATATTTAGTTTTTAATTGTATGTTATGAGACCGTGTACCTACTTATTAGGTATAAAGAACTGTAAATTTTATTTAATGTGTACAATAATCAGATGTAGTCTTAATCTGATATTCAATAATATAAAAAAGCATTTCTACGATGTGAACTTCAGAAAAGTAAAAATATTTATTATTATTAATTATAAGAACTGTACTTTCAACTGTTTGCTGTAAAGCTCATAGTCATCAGAAACTCAGAACAAATATTTATAAAAAAACGAAACATTCAAAGAACTTGAATTGGCATAACTTGGACAGATCCCCAACTATTTGTAATTGATAAATTGAAATTAATTTTGCTCCGTAACACATAACTAAAACTATGAATTTGTATTATATTGATATGCGTAGCTTTGTAAACTACGGCATAGAAACAGCACATTCTCTATAATTGTACAAGCAGAGGCCAAATGTCAGGCGGCAGTATGATTTCGTAAGTCTTTTGTTCGGAATGCGGGTGGGTGTGTGCGGAATGAATAGACTGACCAGCGACGGCGGCGACTTCTTTTGCTCCGACGTGCAGGAAGTCTGTGAGGGACAACGAGCTCGCGATCAGCTGCCTGCGCTCTTGGAAGTCGAGTTGATCGAGACTATTGGTCCTAGTCCCGCGCACCGCCTGGGCGGGCGCGCTCAGCGACATGTCAACTACATGCAGCCATGTCGCAGGCACAGCATAATCGCCACGAATTGCGGAATACGATCTCACAACACAACCGGCGAATAAACAAAGACACACGCGTTACCGGCACTAGCGCAGGTTATTACGTTACATGAATAAAGTATACCTGCGCCGCGAGGGACGCACGGCGACGGACTGGCGCGCGGGCCGGACCGACGGTGTGCGAGAGGCAGGGTGGGGGCCCGCCAAGCATTGTCAGCCCCTGCATGTTGCACTCGAACTCGAATCACTCGACGCGCTTTGCTCGCCGATCCGTGCTATAACTGCCATGTTTACGGTCGAGTTTAGCGAGCCTCCGGCATTCTTACGTCACACAGGCACCGAGATATGATCTTATTTATGATTATGCGACCGGACATTTTGAAAGTCACATTAAAACATTGATGATAAAGTAAATCCCCAAAAAAAGACCTGCCTCCGTAAGCTAACATAAGCAGGTGTCGAGATAATTTGTATGCAAGATGCATTGATGCACCGAACACTAGCAAGGTAGGAATGCGTTTAATGCTTGTAAGCATACCAAGATGCTTAGACGATTGCAAAATAACTATTCTACTTCACATAAAAATATAAGCACCCCACGCCTCGTTAGAGGCAGGTGTGCAGCCCATTACAAAATATATACTAGCTGCATGAGGACTAAGAGTCATTGAGTCGCTTTGGGCCCCTCAAATTAGTTCAATAACCGCACAGTTGTTTATGAGTATAAAGTTTTGCATAGGTATTTAAAAAGTTATGCTAAATATTTTAATGAATTCTTTATGAGAACATGGTCGAATGACTAACGATTTATACATTTAAATATATTAAATCTAATAATGGTTTTGGTTTTCTTTTAATTCTGAATTTACATACCTGAGAATATAAGCAGTGATATTTTAAATAAGTTTTGAAAACATAGTCATTTTATGATACATGCATATATCATTGTACATAAATTAAAAGTTTGGACAAATTCCAGCAAATTGATCTAAGATAGTTTCATAAGATTTTACCTGTAAAGTAAAGTAACAGCCTATAATATGTCCCACCGCTGAGAGGTCTCCTTTTTTTGGTTATGATGGATTTCACGACGTGACGTGACTTAAAATTAACAATTGCACTATTCTCGGCAACGGGATCGAACTTGAGTCGTTTGAGTATATTCATTTAAAAGCAACATTACAGGTAATGTTTGAAAATAAGCAGGTTTAAATTTATCCTAAAACGATGTGCAGTGCCCCGGTTTCTGAAACACTGATCATCGTAGAAGTCAACTTATCAGCTATCAAATGGATTTTCAAATGTTATTTGATTTGCCAAAAGGATTGTTAAACTCTGTGAATTGATCAGAATGATCTTCTTAATGATCAGAATGATCAATTCAAAGAGGTAAAAAGCTCCATCCCTTGAAGCACCACATCGGTGATAGATTCGGCGACGGCGCTAGGATCATCCAGTGAGAAGCATACCTGGCTCCAGGGATAAGATGCAGAAAGGACCGCATCTCGTCCTAGTCCGGCAACCTCACTCACTAGACAAAACGCAGAAAAACTTCAAATTAACACCGGAGGGACCAGTATTACCCAGTAATAGCCATCTCTTTAAATTTTTTAAAAAACGTTGACTTCTAATGGTTTACACCCAGTTTCCGAAAGCGCAATCAATTTTAATTTACGATAAATCTCTTGTCAATAGTTTTTAACATTATCTGAGTTGCTAGAACGTCTTAAACAACATTGATTTAGATTTGCAATTAGTCACTGATTAACGGACAATCAACAGAAAATCGAGTTTCTGAAAGCGTTTTTCGGTGGTCAACGAGCTGTCAAAAGTTTTATTAAGTAATCTGTCAATTTGGACGATCAATCGTTGGTTAAAAATGTATTTTATCAAAAATCTTAGTTTTTATTAGAAATAAACATAATTCCCTAATATGTTGTTAGGACATTCATGTGTTCTATTACCTATTTATTATTTATTATTATGCGAACATATCATGTCATTAGAAAAATACAAAATGCAATTCAAAAGTAAATAATATGGAAATAAAAAAAAATTTAAATAAATATTATGGATTCTTTCTTATTATAATACTTACTTGTTTATTATGGATAAAAGTTCATTTTTTACACGTTCTGTAAAGTTTTTTTTTTACATTTTGCATGTATTTATATAAATTAAATTTTTCGAATTTTTACGTTGGCAATCACACGGTGACAGGACTGGATAGTGACGTTAATTTAAGTTTTGTTTAAAAAGGGACAGCTATACAACAGAGAGTTAGTTGAAGTGAATCATTCATTTCATTCATTATCATTGGTTATACAGTGGTTAGCTAATTTTTCTTGAACAAACCTTCCAGAAACCCAAGGCAGTTTAACAAGAGATTAACAGCTGATCATTTATGACATAGTGTTATGTGATTGCTGCTTTGATTGGCCTTTCGGAAACTGGGCATTAGTCTCGAATTTGTTTATACATGAGTGTTTATGAGCATAATCCCAATTAAACAGATTTTAAAACTGGATAGTTTTCCAAATAACATTAACACTTAATTTTAGGAAATAATTGTCAAGCATAATACTATTTCATAATTTTAAAACCATATCAACTTTGCATAATCCGTTTTCTATTTAATGAGTTTTGCAAGTTTTTTTTCATTAAGAAGTATTCAAGTCCGTGCAGTAGTAACCTTTTTTTAACTATGAAAAACGTCATGCACACAAAAGATCACAATAACGAAATTGAAGGTTGTTGCAAAAAACTAAGAAAGGCATATAATCAATACATATAAAGGCTTCGAGGACGATGAAAATAATTATCTAACACGTGTGGTTTTGCAAAAGAGGGTAAACCACTGGCTAAAAATGTAGGGAAGATTTTTTTTTGTTTTTTAAAAACATTGCCTTTATTTCAGGATAATATTATCCTGTGTTGTGAGGACCCAGATGCGAAACAACTATCATTTGGTTTAATCGGTGTTTTCAATTTGCATAAGTTGTACTTTGGCTTTTTGTTAAGTTACGAATATAAACCTTCTTTTTTTCAATAAATCAACTTATCGCAAACGACAACAATTATTGAATTGAAATTAAATCAAGTAGCTGTAGTTATATACCCCGGCTTCTTAAAAATTGAGAGACTTTCTACAGCTATGTAAGTAAATTCAAATTTTGTGTAAATTTCAATTAGTCTCTCATAAATAAAATCTGTTATCTATGTAGGTATTGTTATAATTAATTGAAGGAAAACATTTGTTGCAATGATCTAAATTCGTATAAAAACTAATAGATCTAAGTATACTCTCCAGCTCCTTAAACATTAACAACGCTCCTACCAGAATTAAATAATTATTCGTCGTAATTTTCAATGACGTACTACATAATAAAATCTGTATCTAGTAAACTAAAACTGCCCCGCGTCTTTCAAAAGGAGTCATCAAAATTTTATTTAATGTGAAAATTGGTTTTTGCATTTGACTCTTAGCATGCAACCTGGGGCCTAGAGCGACCGCTCCACTTGCTCTACCATGGAGCTGGCGCGACTGCACCATGATCTTACTCATTACTTTCACTCTCTCTTAGATTATTCAATTTTTATTGGATATGATTATCTTACTACTCCCTCACACCGTGATGCGTGTTAGGCTATCCAACTGTATAAACATATCCTTAATAGTTTTTGTTAATTGTTACTGTACAGGTGTTGTTTGCGTACTTATTACTACTTAAATGATTAGAAGAAAAATACATTATTATAAAATAATATTACATCGGGTTTTTTTTATTATCTGATTAAATTTCGATAGAGCCTGAGAGATATATTTGGTAATATGTACCCGACATTTATTAACGTTATGTCGGTTATTCATTAAAAATTAGTTATAGTATCGCAATCACCTAAAGGTCCATAATATTATAATTATGACATGCAATAAGTTTAAGGAAAAATAATTATGAACATATTGTTCCGGCACTCTTTAGGAACCAAAAAGATAACGCCTTATGGCGAATACAGGCAATTAAAATCACGTATTCTACTTACAGAACATTCTGCCCTCGTCCATAATCCCGCATTCGCTCTTAGTATCATCGTCTATGGGTCTTCGTTTATTTTTACCTGTCTTTGTCTTAACGTTCAGGTCATCCATATCGCCATAAAAAACGCTAAACTAGTCACAAACACATTCCAAACCTGCAGCTATTTATGTGCGTGAATGATTTACACTGCGAAATACAACTAAGACATTACCACGAGAATTTTTGATAAGATAACATCCGATAGAACGACGATTTATCAAATGATACTAAACTGCATCGTACTTCAGTTCAGTGGTTCGTATTTAGTACCTAATAGTTTAGTTGGCATCACAGAACACCAATTCGATCGGGTAAATTAAATGGGATATACGTATATAACGATCAGGCATATTTATTATTGTATTTACCTTCTAAAATGTATGCTCTTAACAATAAAATTCTAAGATCAAATTAATCAGATTTTAACGCATATTCCAATTATAATCGAATATTTTGTCAATCGTTCGAAATAAAATCAATAAATTTTGGATAGTTGGAATAATTTTGGAAATTTTTGGAAATTGGATAATTTTGGAAAAACACTAGACAAGACCTTATCAGTTATAACGATACTACAAAATAATGATATTTTTATAAGAGTAGGAGGAAAACGAACAGACGGTTTACCTGATCTAAGTGATTAACGCCTTCTTCGGACTAGCACATCATGTGTTGTGGGGCCCTAACCTACCACAATTGTCATTTGATGATGATATCATAAATGAATCTTTAGGATTTGACGGATGTCAAATTGTCGTGAATTTGTTTTTTTTATGTGAAGTTTCCAGACGAGCAGATGGTTCACCTGATGTTAAGTGAATACCGCCATCCATGGACATCCGCTACACCCGAGGGTAACAGATGCGTTGATAACCTTTTGAAAATTGGGCTCTGGCTACCTCACTCACCAGACGAAACGCGAAAGTATTTGTCAAACTTCCACTTTACGCTGGTCTTCTGTGAGGTCGTGTTACTTACCCGGACGGGCCTGCGCATTCGTGCAACAGCCGAGGCTGCGTGGCCCTACCACCGTAACTTTTAAATTTACTTTTAAGTATCCAACCAGGAGCTACAATTTATAACCTTTTCCTCATATGACACCGAAAGTTGTTTTTAAAATAACTACATATTTAGTTTTAAGGTTTCTGACTATGTCAGGGCCACGCAACAGCTTCCGCTGTTACACGAGTGGACAGTCCTTTCCGGAGATGCACTAAACCTCGAATGCGTCTCTCAGAAAACCAGCGTGAGATATGAAATGTATTCTACTTTTGCTTTAGGCCTGGTGAGTTAAGTAACTGAGGCCCATTGGCGAATTTACCCTAAGGGCCAGTAGGCCCGGGCCTAGGGTGGCCACATATTAGGACTACCGTATTCCACGATTGGCAAATCGTGACAAAAAATTCACTGATGATAACAAGATATATGAGGGGCTCTGAGAAAGGGGCGGTTGAAACTTACTACATGGCATGGGGCCTAGGGCGACCCAGACTACAAATCCGCCACTGCTGGGGCCCATTTAAAGGTTGCCAACGCAATTGTTGTATATGTGTATCGGCGACCGTAATCACACATTAACATTAAACACCAGTCAAATTACCTGCCAACTTTTCAGATAAACAACATTTTAATTAGCTAAAAACAAAACCGACTCCACATTCTACATTTTCTATTTGATTTTAAGGAATTATGATGATGAATGATCTGACCTGATGTATCTCCGGAGTCCAAGGCCCAAGACCAATTAAATGAATATGGGACTACATGAGAACTAAAACTTTCCCAATGCAAAAATATAAAATAAAATGCAAAAATCGGTTCACAAATGACCGAGTTCGCAGTTAACAAACGTAAAAGAAACAACCAAATTAACAACCTACTTTTTAGTATGTTGAAAAAGGTAAATCACTCCGTGATGCCTCTTGGATTCAATCTTTAACCTGCTCAAATATTCATAGAAAAACAGGCAAATCAACGATCAAACTAAGTAAAGTTAGTAAGTAAAGGCCAGCAATGGAGTGATGATATGAGTTTATTATCAGAATATTATGTTATAGTTTACTGACCCGTTGTTTTGCCTTATAAATTATTTGTAGAGTAGAAAAAAATGTTTGGGATGGACCAACCTTAACATTTAGGGGGATGAAAAATAAATGTTGTCCGATTCTCCACCATGGCCGATATGCACAAAAAATTTCATGAAAATCGGTCGATCCGTTTCAGAGGAGATCAATTACAAACACCGTGATCCAAGAATTTTATATATTAGAATTAAATTTTGACACATGCTCGGTCGCAAATTCTTTAACTGCACTAATACCTATGCACCTAAAAAGCATCTGCGATTAATATATTAGTTACTAGCTTTTCGCCCACGGCTCCGCCCACATAACTTCATTTTGTAGCGTGCTTAATAAGTAGCCTATAGCTTTTCTCAATAAATAGGCTAACATTGCAAGAATTTTTCAAATTGGAACAGCAGTCCTTGAGATTAGGGAGTTTAAACAGACAAACTCTTCAGTTTTATAGTAATTTTAATTTTAGTATGGATTTACCCTTATTTTTAGCCGTCCCATCACACCGGAAGTGTCAAAACTATTCATTTTTAAAGTCCGAAGCGCCAAAGGGGTAAACGGGACCCTATTACGAAGACACCGCTTTCAGTCTGGCCATTTGTGACCAGGCTGTATCTCGTCAACCGTTATAGTAAGACAGTTGTATGTCTATTGCCGCTATAACATCAAACACTAAAAAACAGAATAAAAATTAAGTGGGGCTCACATACAACAGCCATGATTTTTTGCTGTTTTTATAGATAATGGTACGGTACCCTTCGTGCGCGAGTCCTACTCGCACTTGGTCAGTTTTTTTTAACTATATAGAAACTTATAATCTTATTTTTACAGACTATAGTATACAGTTAACTATAGTTTCACCCAATTCAAGTGTAGCAATTATAGCATTTCCTCGCAAAAATCTTTAATGTGGTTCTTCAAGTTGATATAACTTTTTTATTTAACCGATCCGATTTAAACAAGCACTAAAATATAGATGAAGCTTACTAAATAAACACTATATATTAAGTAAAGCGTACTACAATGTATTAGTGAAAATTGCACTCAAATCAGTTAAGCCGCTATCTAAGATTAGCATCAAACGCACAGACAAAAAGATAAACAAACAAAAATTAAATAATTTTCGTTCATTTTTAATTAATTCCAATTTATATCATGAATACAGAATCCTGCCAGGCTGGAAACAAAAAAATAACGATAAAAAAATAATAACCCATAAAATAGGATATTGTTTAAATAAATAATAATTTAAAAAAAAAGCAGTATTTTGTAGATAACCGAACTGAAAGGTACAAAATAATTTTGAATAAATTTAAATTATGAAACTTTTTTTTATGCGAAAAGTTGCCAAACGAGCAGACGGGTCACCTGATGTTGAGGGGAAATTGTGGATATTTCTGTTGATTTTACGTGAATTTATTGTGTCGACAAAATAAACCAACTCAAAAGGATACTATTCATTTAATAAAATAAAGGTGAAATAGATATATATCAGATTGTAATAACACAAAATGTTCAAAGTTACCCAAACTCACGTTAACGTATCTATATTAATATAAATACAGTATATGGTAAAAATAGAGTCATAATGAACATATCTTAAAAAGCCTTAAAAGTATAACTTATCTATAGAACCTGACAGAAAAAAAAAACAATTTAAAAGGACTTATTCATCCATGTGAACTCACACCGTCATGACTGATACCTTATTGCTTGAAGGATTACAGGTAATCGGTGTTGATGGGTAGTTTATGTACCTAGCGTGTTTATTAATAGATACCCTTTGGCCTATAAATTAAGTGGACCATAGAATAAAGCTAGCCAGTTAAGTGAGCGTATAACATACGCGATGAAGCTTAAACTCATTAAAAATGGATAAAGATACTTTTCACATGTGTAAAATTGTATCCTTTTATAGATGTATAAACGACTAATCTCTTTTAAATTGTATTCTGGCATATAAAAAGTATTTATATAGCTATTTATTCGCATGTTAACATAAATAAGTGCATTAAAAAGATACGGGTAGAGTATGGAATATCCTCTTGCCAATAACTTGATAGATGATGTTACCGTCCGAAAGTGTCAAGTAACTCGGTCGCTAGTATATTGATTCTCTTCGTCAATCCGTCTAGGTAACGATCACATACAACACATGTAATGCACAAAACATACAACAATTATGTTTTCCGTATGATACGCTATACACTAAAAAAATCATGCAACTGTGTTACGTTAAGTTTAAATTTAGCAGCTATTTAAAAATGAGTATTTTGTTTTTAAAATAGTATAACTTTTATGATTAATCTGACAGGTAGGCATATCAAGTATAACGCGAGCCAATAATACCTTTGGCGTAAATGGGGAAATCGCCATCGGATCGGCTGTGAGTGAGCATCGGGCCGTAGCACCGCCACGGGGGCCGGTTGGTCGGCACCCGCGGGCCCTCCACGACGCCGCTCACCTCCACACGGCCAACATCACTTTTGACCACGCCACCAGGGCCCACATACACGTAGTAGTACAACGTAAGCAAAACACCGAACCGAACACGCTTCGGCACGCCAATGGCGGCTCCTCTGAGACAGAGCTACGAGTGGAAGCTGCGCGGCGCATCTTATGTGCGCACCCCTCACCCTCCCCCTTGTCACCGAGCATCCTAGAGCCTGCCATGGCTCGAGCATTAATTGTTTTTTTTTTAATGTAAACAAATAACATTCTAATATAATTTTCATTGAAAGTTTTTTAAAAGAAAAATGTAAAAGACGATAGCCTCATATTTAATCATCAAAAAAGATGTTTGTGATTTAATATTACTTTTTTAGTTTTACCATTTTTTTCTATAGTATGTAAATATGTTCAGCAATTCTCTTAAATGGGCGTTGTTGTGCATACCGTAAGTTCATAAAAAATATCTAACTATGTCCTGGTGTAACAATGGTAAAAGAGAGATTCACCTCCCGACATATGATCAACAATATAATTTAATAATCCATCCCATTTTGTACCTTTACTCAGTTTCTTTTTTGAAAATGTGGTTGAAAATGAAGTAGTTCAACAGATGACAAAGTTTTTATAGCCATTATTTGACACCCAAAACATGATAGAGTTTATATTTAAAATCTGTAATAAACTTATGGTTAAGCCAGTCTATTCAAGCATCAGCAAAAACTGAAACTTTATTGTTGGACAAACAGGACAGATATTGTTGTTTTGTGGACTGCAGAAACCATGGAAAATATGAAAAAGCTATAATATATGAAAATTAATAATATGCAAACATTTCGAAAATGTCTCATATTATAACTTCTGTTTTTTTTTTTTTATTATGAAAATAAGTTTGGTATCATCATTTTTTAAATTATTAATTGTCTTATAAATCCTAACAGAGCCATGGCTCATATAAAAATAATTTAAAATGTAGGCAAAAATATGGGATTTCATACTGTATCCATTATTGCTAAAAAGTGAGTGGTTTCAAAAATCTATTTTGTTAATGAATTAACTTTATGTTTTACCATTCATGATATGTAATTATTATGAATGAATTTTATTATAAACATAAATTATATTGTAAACTGCAAGTGAAATAAACATGCTCATCAATAAAATTTTATAAATGTAAAATAGTTGCAAAAATTCTTAACTTTTTGATTTGATTAAATCAAATTGAAATTTTGACTTGACAGAAAGCTTACCTCACAGCATTAAAACAAACTTATTTACTCACACAAATCACCATTTGTTGTTGCAGTTTCAATTGGTAAGGATAAATGTCGCCCTCCTTTCCCAAGAGTCTGCGCTTCATACATTCCTTTGTCTCCAGTGTTACCTAGTAAATTTGTATTCAGATTTTGTGAAAATAAACTTCAAAATGAGTACAATATACAGAAGTAAAGTTATGGAAATTAAAAAAACAGTGATAACTCATACACCAACAATTTTATTATTTAAACATCTTTAATAAAAAAAAATCTTATAGATATTTAAAACTTTTTAACAACTTCCCAAGTGAAATTTCATATTAAACATTTATAAGCATGCCAATTTTCACAATTTCAAATCACATCTCTCAAAGGATTATATTGGTACACTGCCATATTTCTATCTTCTAGAAATGAATAACTATCTGCATGATGGTCCATATTACTTCTGTTGGAGGTTGAGTTTCTAAGATTTTCTTTTTGTGATAAATAAGTCTCTTTGTATGTAATCCTCCAACCACTTAATTTCGGTGAAACTAAATTCCTAAAATCTCTTTTATATATTTCTCGCCATAAACTTTCGTTATCAACAACTGCTTTTAATCGTTTACAAGTTCTAGAGACATTTATTATGCTTTCAATAGGAAGATAAAGTAAGACATTAAAAACTATTATATCATCTGGAATACCAACCAAACTTGCACTAGCATAACCATAATAACTAAGGATCTTGCTTTTAGCTGCTGACAGTACTGTATTTTTAAATGTAAGAGACAGATGTTTTAAGTTACGAAATATTAAAGGTATTGTTGAGGCTTGTGCCGAAACAACATAACGACTTATTGGCAAACAAACAGAATAAGTTTCAGTGTTATTTTTATTAAAAACTATATTCACTAACATTAAGGCACCTAACGGGCTAATGATAAGATTCAGAGATAAATCATTAAACCCAGACATTACAAACTCCGTTTTGTATAATCCGACTCGTAACTTCTCTACTGTAGAATGTCGTATATCAAAGCTAGTTTCGGCGTCCACTACTACTGAACCATTAATTACAGGCAAAAAGCCATTTTCAAGCATCAGGACTACAATTAAGACATAGAACAAATCATTCTGGACTGTCTCAATAGGTTTATTCTGCGACAGCACCTCTTTTGAAAATCTTTCAAGTAATGGGCATATTTCTTCCAAAGAACTTTCTTCTAACGTCAAAGACATTTTAGAGCAAATTTCTAGATTAGTCTAGATTATTAAATTTTATCAATCCAAATTAATTAATTTTTCATATTGACGTTTGTAAGTTGTAAGTAGGGATGTCGAAAAAATATCGATATTTTTGATTTTAAAATATCGATATTTTTAGCCGATATATTTCGATCCTATATAAAAAATATATCGATATAAAATATGGAAATCATAACGTTATTTTTTCAAATTCGAATCTGGTAGAAAGTCCGTAGATGTAAATTATTTAATACTTGACATACCATACTTTTGGAACAACGGGTCCCTAACATATTCTCAACAATATATCATGTCCGGTATTTTTATAAATATTGATATATCGATAATTGCTATAAAGAAAAAAGGCGGTTTAAATACTAACTAGAATGTAAATAGAGTTTCACATTCGGTGTAATTTAATTCATGTTATAACTACTGAATTGGTTACTTATTGTCCATTCTACTAATATGTTATAATATGTATGTAGATTTTCACGCCGTGAAACCAGAAGACGCAATTTCAATGAAAAGTAAATTAAAATGAAAAGTTTAACGGAATAACTAATAAGTGATGATATTTTATAGTCCTAATATGTTGTTAACGCGCCCGAATCGAAGCCAAGAAAACGTCCAAATCGGGACGTCTCTGATCTTTATTTTACGTTAAGGCAATTTTCATTTGATAGTGGCGCGAAGCTAGTACGAGTACAGGGGCAAGTGGCGGTCCAATGGCATTTCTCTGTTAAAATGGTACTGGTAATGTAAGGTAATGGTAATACATCAAAAAAACACAAAATACAAATTTTGTAATTATAACTATTTACACTACCCCAATTAAGCATATGCGCGAGTTGTGCACATGCAAAAAAAAAAAATAGAAAGCGATTCTATCTGGATCTAGTAAAAAGTTAGCTTACAAGAGAAGTTGGTTCGCTAGTCTACTTTACACCACTGTACTTACTCACTGTACTTTAGTACTACAGTAAAACATGACCAATGTAAATAACTCAGGCTTTAGACTGGGCGGCGAGTAAGCCGGGGGGAGTAATAAAAATTCTGTTTTGTATCTTTAAAAGCTGTACCAAGTAAGATTAGAAAGTTAACAAAATTCAAGGGATCTCATATCATGTACATAATGCCATAAAACTTTTGTTTCTTTTTAGCTAGATGCCAATGGAATGGGTGGTTAAGTGATAAATAAAGTGATAACTACTGCCCATGGACATTTTCGACTAGGGTTGCAGATGCGTTTTTACCAAAGTGAGCCTCAGCTACCTCACTCACCAGACGAAAAGCAGAAGTGAAACTACCACTTTTCCCGTCTTCTATGAGGTTGAGTTACTTCCCTGGATGGACCTGCCCATTTGTCCAACAGCAAAGACTGTTGTGTAGCCCTACCATATCTTCAATTTATTTGTATATTTCAATTATTTTCATAATATTTTAATTCATGTAGGTTAGAAAACAAAGAAAGAGGCAAACAGATAAGTTTAATATGAGGACGAGAAAGGCAGATGCAACTCTAGATTTTTTAGCTATGCTAAAGCGACAAACACTTGTCTTTTATATAAGCAATGGGGATATAGAAATGGGAGGAAAACAAAGAGATATGGCAAATTTTAATAGCAACTTCATGTGACAAATTAGACATTACATAAATTGAGGATCTTCTTGTGTGGTTGCACATAAAAAAACTTTATTTTATGAATTTAATATAATTTCATGGACACATAAAATAAAAAAAATATTAAAAAAAATAATTATAAATATAAACGAGTGTCACAAGATTTTAATGAAAAGCAGCATAATGTTAGTGTTTCTTATAGCATATGTTTTTCAAACAACTGTTTTTTGGTGCCCATTTAATTTGAAATGGAAGGATTACCATTCACTTTTTTATCAATTTTTAAAGATAACTTTCACTTTTTGTAAATAATAACCATGCCAAAATTCTAACTAGTTCCTTAAAATGTTTGCTCATACTATCATAATATACTTAAAATTATTGCTGTGCTACAGATATATAACATAATATGTGGATGTTTACTTTTTACTTTGCTCACAGATAATTCGATATACACATATCTTAACTGGTTTTATATTGTTTTGTTTGTTTTGTATATTTTCCAGCAATTTTTCCCTTATAAATCTAAATTGCAATCACATTGAACCTCTTTATTTTACCTCCTGGATAGATATCAAAACTAGGGACTTAGGACAGTATGTTAGCAGCAGTCATTAAAATTCCTTCTTCGTTTATGATGCTCCTCTCATTCTACCTGACTAACATCTTGAAAAGTGGTTGGAAGGATAAGATTAGTACTAGAATTATCATAAATAAATGTAATACCTAGACAAGGATTATTAAGAATCATAGCCTAAATAGGGGGAAATATTCCATTCAAGCACTTGGCTCTTAGCAATATAAAGAAGTAATCAGTTGCCATATGAGAATCTTGAGCAGTTAATAACATACAAGGTAAAAGTACCAAAAGTTATTATGGCATTATTTTTATTTTAAACTAGCTGACTCGGCAAACCTTGTTTTGCCATATAATTTATTTTTAGGGAATTTGTGAATCTGAACACATAGAAAAATAATTTCGGAACGCACCCATAAAATGTTTGACAGGTAGGAACAGTTTGTATGGGAAAATAAAATCGGTGCTATTTCGATTTTCCATGCAATTTTTCCATAATTTCTCATCGTTTAAACCTTCCCTGGACTGCCACAAATATTTCAAAACCAAAATTAGCCAAATCGGTCCAGGCGTTCTCGAGTTTTAGCGAGACTAAAGAACAGCAATCCATTTTTATATATAAGAAGATTAAGAAGTTGTCTAAGAATTAATGATATGTCTGTGAACGTAGTGAGTGTTGAGATGATGGCCAAAAGAGGAAAGTGGTAGGAAAGGACATGTTGTGCTGTCCCCACTTAGTGTGGGATAAGGGCAGGAGAAAAAAAAGAAGAAATTTAGAACAAACAGCACTTCAATCTTTATAAAAAAAAATTGACTTATATTACAAAAAAATATCAATTTACTACTGGCGTAGCATAAATTTGTCGTTTTTTCACAGAGTTAAGTTATTGATTGAAGTTGTGATGAAATTACATAGTAAGTACTGTGTACAAATTCGACATAGTATGTACCAAATAAGGCATGATTTTAAACTATGTATTACTAACACTAATTACTGAACATGTCTTTTTGAGCTTGTAAGTTACACAATTTCTATAAATCAATCTTTAATACTATTAGTTCCATTAACCTATACAGGTACTTCCTAACTTTTAATTAAATTTTAAAAAGTAAATAGAGAGGTGTCAACAAGGAGCCAAAAAATTGTATAAATATCAAAATATTTTTGGGTCGTTGAAATCAACTTAAAGTTTTATGTATTATTATTCAATTTAAACAATGTAAACCAAAACAGACTTAAAACTTTAATTTAAGAGTAAAATGACACTAGAAATAAGGTTAATATATTTTTGCAAAAGTAAAATTAAAATTATGATGAACTACAATCAAACTTACCTAAGTTCCCGCTACTTTCTTGTTTCTTATTGCTCTTCAAAAATCCATCAGAGTTTTGGTTACCCGAAGTTTTATCGCTGTCACTGGCCATTGAAAGGTTTCGTTATATCAACTTTATTTAACAACTATCTCATAGTTCTTAAATGCATAATGTTATAGTCCAAGAACAAGGTTTTCAATGTTTTATTATAAATGTACAAAAATACGAAAAGCACTTTGTTAATTTTAATAACTATGATTAATAATACATGTTTACACCCTCGACAACCGACTGTTCGTTCAAAACCAGTATTTGCTTCAAATTTGTAGATACTCTGTAATTGATGAAACACGTAAAACCAAGAAAGTATATTTTTTTTATTCTTACAGAAGAGTAATAATTTATGACCATGTACTTAAACTTTATTATAAAAAAAAGAAATTGTTTTACGAATTAACTTTAAGGTTTAAAGGTTTTATTTAATGTCCTAAATTGTTGGATGGAAAAAATATATTTATCGATGTCGAAGAATACAAATAATTGAGATTTAATTATTTAAAAAATATCGAAATAAGGCAATAATAAATATAATAATAATAATAAGTGAAAGATCTTACATTTCCTTGTGAATCTACTTGAAGCTATACATTGTCTTTAAAATTATAAATGACTTGTTATAATTAATGTGTAATTAATAAAGTTTTTATATTATTTTATATTTATTTACTACCTATTTTATATTTAACGTTATTTTAATTTTGCCAGGTTCCCGATTTTAATTTCAAGTCTAACCTTCATCGCTTGTCATAATCCTAAATAAAATAGTTAATTAATATTTATAAAGTTGGTATTGATAGTATGAACTATGTATTACTATTAGTTATGGTTTAGGACTAACTGTAATTTGAATCTGTGTTTATTTCGCAAGCCCGCATTCATTTGTAGTTTTGCTAAATAACTTTTCTAATCTATGCTAGGAGCAAGTTTTGCTTTACATTTGTCTTGTTTGTTCCTTCTAATTTTTTGCCAATAACATTAGGTTATACAGTTACATTGTAATTTAATGAAATTATTTTGAAGATTATTTATTTTAATTATTATACCTTAATTTGAACCACGTTACGTGACACTGCTTAATACAGTGTATTGCTGATGTGATATTATTGAAATGTCATCGTATATGGCAGGTGTTTTCGATTTAGATTTGGATGTTGATACTGTAACAGTTGGAGATTCAGACGAAGACGATATTATTGAAGTTGATGAGGTATTTATGTTATGATTCATTAATAATATAACTCTTAATACCAGTCTCTAACCTTAACCTGTCATTTTGAGATTAGATACTCAAGGGCTAAATTTGTCGTAATTAATTATATTATTTCCTGTTTGATTATTTGTTAATTTCAAAATCCCTTCTGATGAATAACTGCGTGTTTATTTTATTTTAATTAACTTATAATGTTTGCTTATTGAATTATGGAGTGTTATTACATATATACAATAAATTACGTCTAACAGGTTGATTACGACCCAGAACTAAATGTGAACACTATTGCTGAGTGAGTATATCATATTAAAATATTATTTAAATTAATAAAAAATATTAGATGTATTATTTTTATTTCATTTTGATCTAGGTCAGAATGTTCAGAAACTATTCAATTGTCTGAAGATAATGTAAATCCAGGACAATGCAAGAGGTTAGGTCCTCAAGATTTTGAACTACGAAAGGTACTAGGAAAAGGTGGCTATGGCAAAGTATTTCAGGTACGGAAAATTACAGGCCCTGATGCAGGTGCACATTTTGCAATGAAAGTTCTAAAAAAAGCATCCATAGTCCGTAACCAGAAAGATACAGCCCACACTAAAGCAGAAAGAAATATTCTGGAAGCTGTTAAGGTATATTTCAAACTATATCATCTGTTGTTGTCCTAATATGTTACATATTACATAAATAGTTGCTTTTGTAGAGGTGTAGGTATCTCTTTGCATTTTCCTCATACATGTAAATGTTCAAACACATTGTGGATATTTTTTTTGTCACAACTCTAGTTTTTTTTCCTTACAATATTGTTTTTTCAAATGTCATGTCAAATTATATTGTTGCAATAGCAATTGTAGCCCTATATTCAAAATATAGTTGTCTTTTAAACTTTTGTGTATATTTGGTTCCCAGTATGTTAATAATGTTAATTTTTTTCAGCATCCTTTTATAGTTGAATTAGTATATGCTTTCCAAACAGGCGGTAAACTTTATTTAATTTTAGAATATTTAAGTGGTGGAGAACTTTTTATGCACTTGGAAAGAGAAGGTATTTTTCTTGAGGATACAGCATGGTGAGTAGAGTTTAAAAACATACCCACTAATTGTGGTTTACACATTTAATTCATTGGGTTAAAAAGCTAACCTTCCCCATGAATCTCCATACATCCTCAATTGCAAAAAATTTGCAGAAATTGAGATAAGTGTTTGTTCCTTGTTTCGAATGGAAACTAAATATATTGTCAGTTTGTTTAAATAATATTTTATGACATTTCCTAATACATTCTTTTTTTTAGCTTTTATTTATCAGAAATAATTTTGGCCCTGGAACATTTACATAGTTTAGGCATTATTTACCGTGACCTTAAACCAGAGAATGTCCTTTTGGATGCTCAGGGTCATGTAAAACTTACTGATTTTGGGCTATGCAAAGAACATATTCAAGAGGGTATTGTAACACATACATTTTGTGGAACAATAGAATACATGTAAGTATTCTTTGTTATGTGTATTTTATTAAAACAAGAACATTTATTTCCGATAAAAACTTCAAATAAAATTTAAGGGCCCCAGAAATTTTAACCAGAAGTGGCCATGGAAAAGCTGTAGATTGGTGGAGTTTGGGGGCCTTAATGTATGATATGCTGATTGGACAGGTATTAATTATTTTAATGATTATTAACAATGTTAATGTTATCAATGAATCTTAAAATAGGTTAATAATATCCATAGGAAGTCTTATAGACTAGTATCATTTTTATGAAGATTGAGTTGGTTAAGTTATAATATACAAAAATAAAATGTAATATATAAAAATAACTTTTCTTACTCAACTAAGTTGTTCTTCATCTAGTATTTTAATTACCATTATACAATAGTATTTTATACCAAAGACTAGCGCAACCAGCATGTTGTCCTGTACACACAACTTAAATCCGAAACTTATAAATAAAAATAATTTATAAAAGACTTAGTGTACTGAATTGTGAATCTAAAAAATTCTCAAATCGACTTGAAGACACAAAAATATCCATTAAAATCGGCCCAGCCGTTTCAGTTCAGTGACGTGTGCACGTAAAGTATAGATATTTTATATGTACACTTTCAAAATCATTCATCAAAAGTGATTCAAACAGAGTGACAACACATATTCTAATGTTTCATTCATCATAACTTACTGAAACATATTGAATGGTATAAAAAGGATAACGTCATTAAAGCAATAAGAAAAAAAAGGATGGCAGGTATTTGTCACTTAAGCTTGACTGTAAAAAATTCCACTCTGGACCTCAATCACTTGGTACATCAATCAAAGATTCTCGACGGTATTTAAATTATTTTATAATTTTTGAAACCGTGTCTATGTCCCAATCGGAACATTTTCGTGGCTGCCCTTCCGGCCTTTTAACTACATATTTGCAGTATGAAATATTGTTGCCATTATATGTTCTTAAAAACTCCATAAACTGCAAGTATATGGCGTGAAACATGAATAAAGATTATTATACGCAAAAATTGTGGTCTAAAATAAATAAGAATATTTTACTAAATAATTGGTGTATGTTCATTAAAAATCCACATGTAAATAGCATAATAAAAAATCTTTTCGTTATATTGCAGCCTCCTTTTACTGGTGATAACCGCACTAAGACAATAGAGAAAATACTTAAAGGAAAACTCATGTTACCTGCATACCTCACACAAGATGCACGCGATTTGATAAGACGCCTTATGAAGCGTTCGGAGACTCAACGATTAGGAGCATCCGGGGCTGCTGCAGTACGCGGGCACGCATTCTTCAAACACGTGCATTGGGATGATGTATTTAATAGAAGATTGGAACCTCCAATGAAACCGATACTAGTAACTTTTATTTTTATAACAATTAAATCTAAACATGGATATTAAAACGACAACAATTACACAATTTATTACATTATTATAAAAAACATTAGTAAACTGATTGCATTCAAATTAGAAATTTCTGCAATTGCAAAATTTCTATTTGTTACATATCCTGCATCGATCGGCCATAAAAAAATTAACATAAAAACTTTCTCAAAACACACTAATCTGAACATAAACCGATAAATCGAATTATTTCATGATAGGAACATACACCGACAAATCATTAGAAATTTTCATGGGTCATGTGGTTGGTTGAAAATTGACAAATCTATATCCAAACATTTTTTAGGACACATGGGGAACTTTTATTACTTGGTCCAGATTCGAGTTTAAAGAATGTCAAACATCAAGAAAAAGTTTATAAAAAAAAAAACTAGAAGGAATGCGAGATTAAAACAACAACATCTACAAAAATATGATGTTGTACAAGGAAACATCTGTCAGTCTGTCAATTCATTTTGTTTTTTTTTAATTTCTCATCACATACTGTACAGATTTGGATATGAAAACGCAATAAATGAACACAGGTCTAACGCTACTTGCCAATAACCATAAAAAATATTAATGTTTTAAAATCCATAATTAAAAAAAATATTTTTCAAACAAACTAATTAAGTAAAAAAGAAACAAAATTTGTGACCTTTACAAATGAACTTTACATTACAGTTTTATACGCAAAGATGTTCTAAAATTCTTTGTTTTGGAAAATTTAATAACTCTGTAAATAGTGATGTTTAATACAATTTTTAAAAGTTATCCTCTATACGTTTGTTCATTTATTGTCGCGATTGTATATTATTTTTTAATTTCCCGAAAAAATGTGATATATCGGTTTTTGTTTCGATGCTCCTCAATTATAATATCGACAGATCATATTATTTAAAGGAAACACGTAGGAGTGTATGGTTTGAGAATTTCGTCAAGAAAAATCGACTTGTTTTTTAAAGTTATACTTCTTTAGGCGCGTTATGAAAAAATGATGAGAGTTAAATATTAAACGCGTGCATCACTGTAACACAAAAGTCACACCTTTGAAGCTGCCCGCTAATTTTTATAGATGGCAGCATATTCTCAATCACATTCGCCCGTTACTGTTCGCGATATAGTAGATGGCGCTTTCATAATTTTATTATTGTTAATATTTATATAATTTTCCAGTCTTTTTATTATATTATTGTAATTATTTGCATGCAATTAATAACTATTTTAATGATACCAAAGAAGTATAAATTCTCTTGCGCGTACATAAGTACACGCGCCCATTTATTTTTTATGTCCTATAATTTTTCATTGTAAATAATATAATGTTCAGTTTAGTAGTCAATATTTCTCATTTAGTATTTAAGGAAAAGTATTCATTTAATGAAAATTAAATGTTATAAAAACTAAAACTATCCTAGCTCGATTAATAAGCATATTGCTAGAAAGAGAGCGAGAGAGAGGGAGTTACTGTGAGTGCAGTGGACAGAACGTATTTCGTTAAGAGTCCTACTTCCAACTCAATCCTCCCGCAAGTGACTTATAGAAACTTCACTCTAATAAAAATACCGTGTCTGAAAGTGGACGGCGTGTATAACAGTTTATATAAACACTCAGTAATGCCCAATGATTCGTTTCGTCGGGCAATAATTATGGAAAAAAAAACTCGCTAATAAAAAGATTCATAAATCTGGATATGGGGAGGGGAACGCCCTTGAACGATTACTGAACAGCATTCTGTTTCGAAAAAAAAACTAAGGACATGTAAGAAAACTTGATAGATGTTTGTGAGGTAAAAGACTTGTTTCAGGATGGACTAAAAGGGCTTGCATTATCCTCCGTACCCACGGAACAAGATGGAGACGAGATAATCTTTGGTAAAACGTTTATTTTATGTCTAGGGACAACGGAGAAGTTTTATGTTGTTTATACTGTAATATATATATATATATAAGACTGTGTATTATAAATTCTGCATTTAATTTTATCAATAGTTTCACCAACTTTAACTTGCAGACGAGTGAAGACGATGTTTCACAATTCGACACAAGATTTACATTACAAACACCCATAGATTCACCAGACGAATCGACGCTTAGTGAAAGTGCAAATCTTATGTTCCAAGTAAGTCCTATTTCCTTAATTTTGATCAGTCTGAAGAAACTATTGAACCATTGATAAACAGTGCAAAGACAGTTTTATTTATCGACAGGAAAATATAGTGGAGTATTACCAACATAAGTGACCAATTATAAGCTATTCAAATCGTGTTTTCATATCTTTGAAAATATACAAACAAAACAATACCAATCCAAGTGCATAAATTCACATATCTATAAGATTTTTCATTTTGTTGACAAAGTAAATTAATATATGTAGCAGTTGAAATCTTAACTTGCCTCCCCTGGTTCCTGGCAGAAAGGCAGGATTATGTGTGATTCTTACCCACTAAAATGGAACTATTCTGGGGCGCTACGGGACCATGTGTAGCTTACCAACTCGGCCCATTCCTTTGCTAGGGATTCACATACGTGGCGCCTTCAGTCATGGATGAGATTCACAAGCCGCGGGTAATAACGGCGCGCTCGCCGCGGAGACCACGGCCCCAGCACCACAGCGCCTTCGCGACCCCCGCCTCCACTGCGCACGCGCTGCAAGAGGACCTTATGGATGTACAAGGTCTACCCATATAGTGAGTAGTACTGACCACCACTCTGTAGACTAAATTTATTAGGTATTTTTTTTTGTTCTCCCGAGTCATATAAATGCGGATATATTGGGTAGACCATATTTTTAGTTTTTCACACTTTTTTCTGGCAATTTTTCCATAAAGAGCTATAATTGAATATTTTATGTAATCTTTTAATTCACTTTAACTGCTTAGATTGGAAAGATTTACATAATCTCGTTAATCTGTCAAAAGTAACACTGGCACAAACAGTTTACTCAATATTTAATAAAATAGAGATTATAAATCTTCGAAAGATTATTAACGTGTGTAATTATAGTAAACATTTTTTTTTCTTTTCAGGCCTAGAATGAATCAGATAGTTGACCATTTTTTACAAAAGATGAATACAACTACAAATGCTGCCCATCTAATAATTAATTATGTCCGTAAAATAATGGTACTGTTTTATACTACTATTATTATTAATGTACATTTTATACAAGTTACCGTTTAGTTTAATATTTTGGTAGGATTGATAAACGATAACAAATTGTTCTAACTCCGATTATACGACAGAGTAATAATAATAATTTAAAATATACCTTGTTACCACGCTTCATGAATTGAATTAAAGGTCATTTTTATTTTGTATCCTTGTGTTTGATTTAAACAAAGTGTAATACAGCATTAAGAAACGTTTTTAAATCATTGTAATGTATAAATTAAAACATGGAAATGGGGTTAAATTTGTAGAAAAAGTACGAAAAGATTGTCGCCGCTGTGGGAATCGAACCCACGTCTTCGGCATTCGCGGCCTGACGGCTCTAATCAATGAGCTAAACGGCTGATTGCCACACCGACGAAAATCTTAACGTCTTTTATCTACAATGTTTTTTTAGCATTTGAAGCAATGCTTGTAAATATGGATAAAAATCAGATCTGCGTAAATAAAATGTTGGTTTAAAAATACGCTTCCTACTATTTCTAGCCTATATTCTTCCAATGGTAGGCAAAGTGATAGAAACATCGCGCAATTTTTTTTTGGGTTGCCAAGCTAGTGCTAGGCCTCATAGGAGACTGGCGTAAATTAGATTTGTTTGGTGAGTGAGAAAGAGTAGCCAGGGCTCCTCCCCCTTTTAAATGTCCCACAGCTCTTGTACGAATGACGAGTACGAGATCACTGCAGGTGAACAGTCCGCTCACTTGCCACTTCGTATAATTCTCGACAAAGAAGTTAAAACACGAGATTTATTTACAAATCACCAACATGGTCATTATTATCTATTCATAAAGTATAACAAGAATATTATAAGTACTCTTATAAAGTAATGCGCTTTTGAAGTTTGTGAGTCTTGGTACTGTACGCAATTATAGATCCTGGAAGTGCTACTTGCGAGGCGTATTTTTCATCAGTACTTTTTGCATATAATTCTGATTCATCATTATCAAACCTTGTGACGAATAACGATTTATTAGTATGAAATATAGATTTCTACTTCTTAAATATTTAAATTATAAATTCTTTACAAGGTTTATACATTTTTATGTCTAAATTCACAAAAGAACCGACCATTTATTATACATATTATACGAAAAATAATTAAAAACCATAAGATTCCTCGCCCCCCGCTTCTGTAAGTGTGGTGGATGGATCCCCTCTCTAATAACCAATTATTTTTGGCGGGAGGCGGGCCATACAACAGTTCATTTCATTATTTATTAACATTGTTATAGTTACAGTATTTAAATCTAACAAATACACTTGCGTATAATATACATTTAGGTGATACAATTTTTATTTCATTTTAACCCTCCCAAATGGTAATGATGAAAAAAACACCTCGTGAAAAATTTAAATAAATCTCTAATTTCAATTTCAATAAAAAAGTTTTTTTGTTAATTGAATAGGAAACTAAAATAAAAAGATTTTTAACAAATAAAAAAGAACCGATTAAAAAAAAAAACTATTAACACTAAAATTTTTAAATAATACTTACTTAATCTAAATAATCGAATCTTGAAAATCTAACCTACTTATATAACTTAACCTCTAACAAAATTTAACAATTTTGGAATCGTTGCTGAGCTAAGTATGGAATCTGAGCATAAAATCATTCTGGTACCTTTGTCACAAAATTTAGGTGGATTAGATACATAATTAAAAACATGTACCTAACTATCTTTTAACCTATTCATTAGATAACCGCATAACCGATATTACATACACGAAACCGTTTTCTTTGTTGCTTAGCTTCTGTTATGGTGTAAAACCATTACCCTAGGTGAACAATGGCACCGTGTGTTTGTGCTACTATGTATTTTCCCATATTTTCATTTGGATAAAAGTTACTTTTTTATTTAAAATTAAAGTAAGGATAGCTATCAAAAAATTCAGTAAAAACTTTACTTGAAAAATAATATAAGTACTGTTACGAGCTGGGGGTTCGGGATTGGATTGAAAACCGGTCGTTTAAATGTTTACTTTATTGTCGCCAACAAAGAAGTGCATAATAAGCCTGTCAATACCGTTCTAGTCCCTATAACTACCACCGGTGCGACGACTCCACGTACGCGTCCACTGGTGCAACGCTCCTCACGTTACCGCACCAACCCACCGCGTACGCCTTTACACTACTAATCACTTCGCGTCACTATTCACTACTATACTGTCCACTCACTATTACTTCACTTTTTCACTTTCCACTTTATTCTTCCTGTTCCTTCTTCCTCTTCCTTCTTCCTTGAGTTCCTCCACTGAACTGCCGTCTAAGGCGCTCTGAACCCCTTTTGTACTCGGAATTTCGTGCGTTTTTCAAATAAGTTCTGGAATTCGAAACTTCTTTCAAATTTGTAATTATATTTTTAATAATTTAAAAGAACATTTTATTCGTCATTCCAAACTGTCGACGGATCGTTGACATTTAAGATATTAACCCTGTAATCGTAACAGTACTTTATTATTCTCAAAAACTTTTAATGATCGTGTTCCAGACATGTGCTTCAGAGTTGGCACCGGTTTTAACGCTTTTTCCGGCAATCCTATATCTTAGGCGTAGTCACGAAATCATGGGAGGCCACTTTGCACGCGATCCCTAAAAAAGGCAACCGCTCAGATCCGTCCAGTTACAGACTTATAACCATCACCTCCTTGTTCTCGAAGATAATGAAATCCATTATCAACTGCCAGCTCTTACGGTACCTCGAGGCAATGCCGTCTTAGGCTATATCGCGGCCATAAGTAAAAAAGTGAGTGACAAAAACATTTTTCTGCTATAATCTTATATTTATTCATTAAACTTCTAATAAGAAGAACTTCTAAAAAAAATAGAGAAAAATTTATATAGTTCAAGCGAATTCGTAGGTCAGGGTACCCTGACGACAGAGACCGTGAGCACGGGTCCCGTGTGCCATTATGGTAAAGACGGTACTGCCTCGAGAAGCACTGGCTGATTAGCGACCGCCAGTACGGCTTTCGAAAGTCTCAGACTGGGGACGACTAAACTTAGTCCAATTCAACCCGAAAAAGACTACGACAAAAGTTTGCGCGTTAACCCGCTAAAAAGTCCCCATTTGTCGTAACTCCTAATTTCGAGAACACTCCCCTGTCTGTCACAGCTAGTATTGGAATACTTGGCGTCGAAATCTCGGGCAACGTCCACTTCCGCGGTCATTTGGAAGGGTAGGCCAAATTGGCCTCAAAAAGCTAAGCCTCTAAGCCTAACGCGCAAATTCGGCCCCACATGGAGTACTTTTCTCATCGTACATTTCTGGGCGGGAATCCCCTATTACTTCTTGCCCTATAGCTTCTTCCATTTGACCGCATTCCTCGTAGGGCGGCTAGGCTTATCGACGACCACTCTTTCCGATCGTCTTGATCTGTTAGCTCTGCGTAGAGATGTTGGATGACTCTGCATCTTCTACCTACTAACACTTCTTCCTAAAAACACTACCTACATTTATCATGATTGATCTCGGCGGTTTCATTTCACCATCGGATATCGCGCCAAAACCAAAAATTTCATCCACACCACCTCGATGTAGCGTTTCATAACAGCGCGATATTCAAGGCATTTCCTGCCTCGCACAACCACTCTCTTGAACCAGCTGCCGCCGGTGGTCTTTCCGAACCGTTACGACGTGGGAACCTTCAAGAAGAGAGCAAACTCTTTTCTTAAAGCCCGGCAACGCATTTGTAAGCCTTCGGGTGTTGAAGGTGTTCACGGGCGACGGATATCACTTACCATCAGGTAAGCCTCCTGCTCGTTTGGTTCGCCACTATTGGTTAAGGCGCTGTATGCAGTGAATTTTTAACTATTTGGGTGGTGAAGTATGAGGAAGCGGAGGAGGGGTAACGTCGCTTAGCGGCGCGCAGCGCGCGAGTTTCGTCGATGCGCCGCTAGACCAAGTCATTCATTACCTCGTGTGTGTGTAGTAGGATACTATCGATAGTATCAAGGAAGGCTTTCGAAAATGTGAGGCTTTCGTATGCCTCCTATTCCCATTAAAAAAAAAAAATGTGTGCGTGTACTAGCGTACACTCGTAAGAAGTGAAACTTTTTTATGACCTTATTTTTCAAAAAATAATTTACTATATGCAACTTTACAGAAATTGGTAAAATAAAGTTAAATTAGATAAAGTTTAATAAAAGGCTTTTATTATCATAGACATAAATACAAATTCTACAATTATTTCATTTTAGCTTTGTATAATATTTAGTTTCTTATTTGTAATACATAGGTGGCGTTAGTAATAAATTAAAACACACTATGGTTTGACCGTTGTAATTAGTATGAGCGTCCGCAAAAATTGTTGATTAAAAATAGTCCGATACCATGGGTGAACAAAGTTAAATATTTAGGTGTCGTCCTTGACTCCCAACTAAGATTTAACCAGCACGTGACTCGGGTCAAGAACCGGGCGGCCTTCGTTCTCGGTCGCCTCCATCCGCTCCTCAACAAAACGTCTAAAATGTCCCTTCGGAACAAGGTGACTCTATATAAGGCAGTAGTTCGCCCTATAATGACGTACGCGAGTCCAGTTTTCGCACACATTGCTCCGAAGCAAATTCACCGGCTTCAGGTCATCCAAAATCGATTTTTGCGCAGAGCCACGGGAGCACCCTGGTACATGCGCAATATCGACCTTCATGTCGATTTAGAGTTGCCCACCATCGCTCAATTCCTGAAGTCGGCGTCGCGCCGATACTTCGATTCCGCCGCCGCGCATCCCAACCCGCTAATCGTAGGTGCCGCCACCTACAGACCCCTGCCGCTAGGTACGTTCCGCCGCAATCACCGTAGACCGCGACACGTTCTCGATTTCCCTGACGATGAGACGACTATCGCCATCGAAAGGATTAAAAAACTT